ATTGATCAGTTTAATTACTGAAATTAAAAAGAAACAAAGAGGGTTAAGCTTAAAAAAGAATGTTGGGGATTCCGACCAATAATGTACTGAAAATTGTTCAATAGAGGCTAAACACACTGATAAAATATTTAATGTGATTTGACAAATCGCCTGCATTCATGGGAGAAGAGCCAATATTATTAGAGATAGATAGAGAAAAGGTTACAATACATATGGAGAAGAAAGATCACTTTATTCAAACTCAACTCCCAGTTCTCATTGCTAAATTTGCAGCTGCTGGGCTGCTGTCATTTCCGGTCCTTTACTTTCTCTCTTAGTCTCTCACATTATGCACTCTCTTATTTTCATTTTGCTTTCAAATAATGCATCTATTTATAGGCAATTTAACGGTAAACAAGAGGTCATAAATCATGGCATAAATGATGGCAACGCATAGGTTGCATCATTTTATCAGTGGTTGGTTTAACTATCATTGTAACCTTTTGACATTGGTATCCCTCTATCTTAGGATAGGTAATAAAAGTTATTTTTTCATGATTGTTGCATATTAATGGCAATAATCCTAATAAAGAGGTGCTGGTTCAGTCCAAACTGGAATACTTTTCAGTTATTGGGTCATTATATCTGTAGCTGTAGATTTTGGATTTTAGTTTGATTTATTTAGATAGAAAGTTAAAACATAAGCCTAGAACATTTATGAGAGTTCAAGACTCAATTCTGTCTCTTTGAAGTACAAATCTTATCATAAAAAAAAAAAAAATTGAATCTGTTTTACAGCTCATACATTTCTAAATGAAAAACACTTTGAAAAGCAACCGTAACCACACTTCCAAACAGGCAATCTAACTGTAATTAATTATAGTTAAACTTGGGACAATGAAGAATTATTATTCAATGAAGATATTATTTAAACTTTAAATTTAAATGGAGATCAAATAAAAATATTATTTAATTAAGATTATTAATTCATCAACCTTATCATATAATATATATATATACAGCACACCACACATAGTTACAGTAATTTGTGTCATGGATATTTGAGTTATATCATTAATTTGACCTTATCCATCATCTAACGTGCAACGGCCAACGGCCAACCAACTGCTATAAAGTTTTTTAATACGATTAGCTAGACATGGGCATCAATAGTTCGTGCAATTAAGGATGTTAGTTCTTGGATGAACCACCACCCGCATGCAATAATTATGAAAGACAGCACACCACAAATGATTTCCACCATCTCCTCACCAAACAATATTCCATGGTTTAAAAGTATTCAGTTAATTAGCAATAATGTTTGATTTGGCCGTACTTATTTAAACATTTATTTAATGAAAATGAGAATGATTACTTACTTTCAAGCGAACTATGATTTCCATTTCTTGCCCTTTTTTGGAAGGAATTAAAGCGAAGTGCTATTTGATTCCGGGTTTGGTTCAAGAAAATTAAAGGATTAATTTCATGTTTAGTGGCATTGTTGTAATGTTAATGTGGCAAGATGATTTGGATACTGTTTTGCTTTTTCAGCAGGATAGCTATTATTTTTTAAAATAAATTTTACTTGAAAATATATTAAAATAGTACTTTTATTTATTTTTTAAATTTTATTTTTAATATCAACAAATTAAAATAATCTAAAATCATAAAAAAAATTAAAAAAATTAAACACAAAAACAAACAACACGTTTATACTAATTATTCCATGCATTTTGCGTGAGAGCTTGCAATGCAAAGGATTGGTAAAAGGGTTCTTGGTACGAGGATATTTGATGTTCTTCAGAATCTGAGATGATGGGTATATCTTTGTGTTCAAATGTTAGGAAATTTAAGATTTTGGAGAATCTCATGTGTTAAGACATGATATTATTTATAAAGTTAGAAATACGATTTCTTTTTAAAATAATGAAAACTTGAGATGTAAAACACTTAGAATACAAAGATTTTTCTTTTCTTTTCACATAAATGTGTTTTTGATTAAGATATCTTTATTTCTTTTAGATATAAGAGAACAAATAATCTAAGCAACTCGTTACATGTATTCTCTAGAATAAATGTTGACATTTAATATGTATTTCAACCACTTTAATCTTGTAACAAATGTACTTTGATCTTGTAGTAAATGCAAACATTTAATATGTATTTCAACCACTTTAATCTTGTAGTAAATGTAGACATTTAATATATAACTAGATCATTCATGAATGAAATGTTGGAAAGGCCCGAGGTTGTGAATGTGTTGAGTTGTTCTATGAAAATAAATATATTCTTGGAAAACAACTTGTTAAAAATGAATTTTTATATTATTTACATTTGAAATATATTTTTTTAAAATAAAATAATGTGCATTGATAGTTAAGCAATCCTAGTATGACAGAGAATGATTATATATGAGATATTAATTATTGTTGGGTTGATAATTGTTATAATAATATGAATAATAGTAAGAAGGTGATTATTACGATGATTATATTGATAATAAAATATTAATAAAAATGATAATAAAGACAGGAAGAAGGTAAAGATGGGAGGTGGTGTTTATGGTGATAATAATAGTGATAAAATAATAGGGATTATAAAGATTATTATATTAAAAACGAAGTTTTGGTAGTAACTTGGGTGGTTAAATGAATATTTGTGATTGTTACAACAACAATAATAATAATAGTACTAATAATAATAATATAATAGTAATAATCATAAATAAAAATAATTAAAATAATATTTTTATTAATAATATGATAGTAATTGTAACAATAAAGATAGCATGTGATGGAGTCAAGTCATATGGCAGCGGTTGCAGCAAAGATTTTTTATAAAATAATTGGTAAAAAAAACTGGATTAAGGCTATTTGAACCCCTAAAACTCACATTTCAACATACAAGAAAATAATTAAATTGAAAAATAAAAAATGAAGGGCTTCAAAGGATACCCTAATCATATTTAGATCTTGTTTATTTGTTGGAAAATAATTTTTTAAAAAAAATAAATTATTTTATAATATTTGGTAGTGTAATAAAAAATAAGTTGTAGTATTTGATTATGTCATAAAAAATAAGCTGGAAAATAACTTATTAATATTTTATTTTT